GTGTGTGTGTGTGTGTGTGTGTGTGTGTGTGTGTGTGTGTGTGTGTGTGTGTGTGTGTGTGTGTGGTCTTTGACTCCAGTATTTAATGAATGACCTCAACAATAACCTACTAAGTTATTCCCCATAGCGAAAACTCCCCTGTGTAGGAGATCATAATTGTCATTTAATTATCTGTAATTTCTATTTTCCACCAATAACTAAGAAAGAGGGGAACGAGGGGAATAAGAGCAAGGGAGCGTGAAAGAACAAGAGGGCAAGAAAAAATAAATAGAGTATGCAAGTTGAACTAAAAGGGTTAGACCGTACAACAATGATTGCAGGTTGGGAGAAGGATGGAGAGGATGTAGGTAGTGTGGCGAAGGGAGGGTCTTTCTCTTGTTCATACTTGATTTCAGCCTTACTCTACAATATAGTCAATATGAATCGATATATCCTTATGGATCATGTATAGAGGATAACTGTTTATAATAATGTGGACAACAATAAAAGGTGCTTAAAGATATTTATGTTTAAATTGATGCACTCTTTTCTTTGGGTTGGACGTAATTCCAGCATCTTAGTCTTAGGGGAAAACATAAGGCTTACCACTCTTTTGAACAATCCTTAAAAAACTGAAAAGACATAATATTCCTTTTCCATAATTCTGAGCTTTCCAGTGCTAGATTTCTCTTGTGATGCTTTTATAGTACGTTTGCAACACCCGTTCTTAGGGCCGGCCAGAGGCCAATGAGCTGCAGCAAGACGTACTGCAGCAACAAAGGCCAAGGGCTTAGCTCTGGGAGCTAGCTGCTGCAGCGTAATTTATGGAACCTGCGCCTCGCTTGTCAAAAAACTTCACATGTAATCATATCTACCTGTGTAATTCCCAGCATCATATAATTCAGTACTTTGTATAAAATAAAAGCAATGAGTTGTGGCTCCAATAATGCAGCCATAAATCACACAGGAGATTTGAATTTTGTAGCAGCTGCTCCATTAGCTATTCATTGCATAAATCAACTACCAAACTGCTTGTTGAATAAATGATGACATCTGTAATAAGTTTTTTCCACACATGTGAAAGAAAGCGGTTCTATGTGCGAATGTGAGTGTTTTCAGAGAAGATACACAACACTGGTTCAACATCACAGTTACACTACATTGACTGTTGCATGTCCTGGAGAAGAATTATAACTCATATCGGGGATGTAGTAAGTGAAAATGACATAATCTTATGCTGATTGCTTGACCAAGAGAAAAATAAACTAAATGTACTTGGCCTACTTACGATGACAGCTCTAAAAATACAAGCAGCATATTCTAATCCTTGTGCTTGATGCAAACATGCCTACATATTCAGAACAGTGGTTCTTGGTAGCTTGAGATCATTTCTCTCCTTAATCATGAAAAAAGTTACACACCTGAGCTCATTGCTGAGATTCCACAGCTGGCTAACACACACACACACACACACACACACACACACACACACACACACACACACACACACACACACACACATTTACATCTTCACACACTCACATGCATGACAAACTCGCAGGTGCACAGAAACAGAACACGCAAACAAAACCCTAAGCATGCTTGCAAGCACATATGCAGCTCCAAACCCCCACAACTGTCAAAAATGATGACAATAAAATCATAAAATAGGTCATCTTTAAAAGGCACTTCAAAGCGTAGCAGAATTGCCATTAAGCCCATGTGAAGAGTCCACCAACATCCTCTGCCTGCATGTGACCAAGACTCTGCCTGTCTGAGCAGAACAGCCCGAGGAGGCAGTGACAGCAACACCTTGGTCTAAGAGGCTCCCAAAATAAAGTGTCTCTCTGGATGACCTGACGCTCATGAACCCATGAACATATGCTTCAAAACATGTGCACGTGAACCAACCATGCGCATGGATGAAGATGGCACTATGCACAGAGTGAAGGGACAGCAGATCGTACTCAAGATGGCCCTTTAAATTCATGTTTTATTGTCTTAAAGGAAATGTGCTATTCATTTATTATCAAGCCATACAACTGCATCAGAAACGAAGGTAGGAAAACAACTATGAATAACTGCATATATCACAGCTACTCAAAAAGGCAAAATCCTTTTATTTAGATTATTACGGTAACAATCTGAAATATTTTCAAAAATTCAGAGGAATACCAGTTTCACGCAGTCCAATGAGATGTCCTCAAATTGCTTGTTCTGTATGACAAACAGTCCAGATACCAAGCATAGTTTATTCACAATGATAAAAACAGCAGATTCTCATTATTGATACGTTATTTTGTTTATGACATTTCATCATATCAATAAATGAATGCTGCTGTGAAACAAAAACAAGATTATATTGTTGACATTTTTAAGGATATACGCAACTTTGCTTTTTTGTTGAGAAATGATGACAAGATCAATAACGCTCTCCTCTATGAGAGTGGTATTGATCTTTTCACCCATCTCTCAGCAAGAAAGCGAGGTTACTATAGCCCGTTTCACAAAACCCAACTTTTCATTCAACTCAAAATCCACTCACTAGCTTTTTTAATGGCTTTCAACCAAATGTCATGGTCTTTATTAGTGCATAGAGTTACAGACAACTAAGCAAAGTCCTTCTGCTCATGTGGACCTCGATTTTATCAAAGATGTTGAACTTTCTGCCAGTCAACCCAATATTTTCATGCATTTACTACTTTTCGTGTTAGCTAAATATAACAGTGAGACTCACAACCTTCTCTGTACTTCTTTTTTTCTAACCAACCTCCTTGAACTGGTAGAAATGCTGACGCAGCTGTCTGATTTACATATATTTTTAATGCTGTATAGTACACAGTGTTGCAATGATTGAAAAGGCATTGGTCACAGGTCACATGTTGTGTATCTCCAGTCCAGTGAGCATGCCTGCTTGTCAGACGTGTGAACACTGTGTCTGTATGTTTGCACTGCATGCCTCTGCACAGACAGGCTGCCTACAATATATCACTGACACTATACGGTTCAATCACAGGCTCTTACAAACCCTGCTCTCAGAGGCTGTGCTTACTTGAGCGAAGCACTTAAAAACACCAAAGCTGGAGGTTAATTGATGCATGGGTCACAGGCATTCAGACAGGAGTCAAGATAAAAGCCTCTGCTCACTGGAATAATAAGCAAGGTTTTTGTACTGAAGAGGGAAATACTGTTAGCCTGTGTTTAATTTGCACGATTACAATCATGGAGCTTGTTTTACTGATATTGTTGCAGAGATCTGAAGGTCCACATTCATATTTCGATAATTTGGCCTTTCATTGGACCCTGATATCAAATGTAAACTGAGGTATCTGAGTCTGGTGTTCTTATACAATGCAGGTTTTCCCTCTGTGCTCCCTGAAGAGAGGGAGGAACATCGTGAATCCTTGCTGTACACCATCAAGAGAATTCCTGCAAAGGCATTGATCCTCTGAACAATATAGCAACATGACAGATGTGATGATCATTGCAGAATTGCTTCTCCTCGGAGAGAGCAACAGAGAGTAAGACGGAGATGAAGGAGCAACAGCCAACCAGCTATGAAACAAGAGAGAAACAGCAAGGCAGAACAAGTGGAAACATTCAGAAGTTACAGACGTCCTTTCAGATTTTTCTGGACCGCTCATGTAATAGATGATTATGGTTTGGCCGGCGCTAAAACACAACTAGAGCCTGTGTGGGCTAGGCACTGGTATTGACTGCAATGAGTCACCTTACAGCGTAAACAGCAGATCTTAGAGCCGGCTAAGGGTTTTTTGAAAGTATTCCAAAATCCACATAGACATTCATCAAGGCTACAAACACGTACCAAACATAGTACACACTGTGTTTCCTACGTGGGATGCGGAGGCGCTGGGGGCATGACAACATACGGTGGTACCAACCATACCTCAATGAAATGTCCTGATCATTGATGGACAGGCGGACAGTCAATGGAAATGCAAAAACATAGTCGAACATGCCCTTTAAGGAAGGTTAAAGTTATACTTCTATTGGGAGACGGACTCAGGCATTGATCTTGCAACTAGAGTTGTAATTATTTAAATCAAATCCATCTTTTACGATGATTTTGTACAGAATGGTGATTCATTGATTGTGCAATTGAGTTCTTCATCCACAATTATCTATTTTACAAAGCGAAATAAACAAAAGTTGACTAGTATGTAACTATCAACCAACGCTCATGTATTGACACCAGCATTTCACAGGTAAGTGCTATGATACAAATGTCAAAGAGTTCACCTTTATCCCTGTGAAACGGCCAACATCTAGTGAGAGTTTGACCGGCATAAGAACCATAAAGGAGCAGGTGCTGCTGATGGACACATTGCTGCTGTAAAAGGGAAAGGCCAGACTCTTTTCTGAAGAGATGCAGCACCTAAATCAAAAGCTCAGCTCACAGGGGAAAATCTTGTGCTATTACTGCAGGTAAACACATTTTTGTTTAACATCAGATGAAGATAAGCATTGAGAGTTGTACTATGGGCTGCAGCCTCAACAAAGACAGGTATAACTCACTACCTTGTTTTTTGACAGTGCACGCCACCGTGACTCCTGAATGCTGCAGTGCACACTCCTATAGCATCTCCAATTCAAACACATTTCATTCCACCATTAGCCCAGATGTGATCAGAGCTCTGATGAAAAAATGAATGATTGATAAGGTGCCAGATGTTTGGTGCCCTTTACCTCTGGATCCGTCAGAACACCGAGCACAGGTTGGCCTGTGAGAGGAGACAGTGGGCTGAAAGGAAAATGATCTCATAACGCATCAGATAACATGATGTGGCCCAGGTCCAATACGAAGCTAATTTGCTGGCCTTGCACCGGGAGGAGTCCAGAAGCTGCTGAGACCCCGATTAGACTAACACAAGCTCGGAGCTCAGCGCGTGCAAAGCTCAAGTATAGTGATGCGGACTGCGGTGCATTCATTAATAGAGGAGGCTATACACATCACCCTGCCTGCATAGGCTACACGGTGGAAAATGGACGCCTAGCATCAAGCGGCCGGTAAAGAGAAAACTCAGTGGACTGGGACACAAATCGCACATTATGATACTCATCCACAGAAATCACTCCTCTTTGTTCGAGCACATTTCAGCACATACAATAGATATTTTAGTCCCAACACCTGCGGTGCGGATGCAGGGAAAGCTTCAAACGGGCTATTATAAGGGTTTCATTTGCATAATAGACGTTGCTGTCGCTAATTATAGGCCCGCGGAAATAGGTGGGAAAATTATCATTCAGCATTTAATCAGTGAAGTGTCAGAAGTCTGGGAATTATTATCATTATTCTTTTCCTGTGAATACGGTTGTCTACACAGTCCGTAGTAGGCTAAGTTGCAGGCAACGTGAAACAAATCAATGTGGCGTGTAAATTACACTGAATGAACTGATCCATTAAGCTGCAAAGTAAAAACAACAGTGACACAGTGTAATTATAATCATTAAAAGAAGCTCGGAGAGGTCTTACCTGCAGGCTTCTTATTTCAGAGATTCGCAGCGCGTCGCACTCCCAGAGAGAACGAGATGGAGGGAAAAAATAAGATAGGGGGTGGACGGTGGATGGGCTGAATATCGGGTCTATCGAGGCAAAAAATAAATAAATAGCAAAGGGGGGATGATTAGAGTTGATGAAAATAAGAAGCACGCGAGGGACTGGATTCTCAATTCCGGATTAAATCTTTAAATCAGCCAGTGATGGAAAAGGGTTGAACATGCATTAAAAAAAGGCTAATACAAAACACGTCACTGAACACGGATTTGTCTACAGTGGATGTGGCCGCTGCTTGTGTGTACTGGGGGAGAATGCGTCTCCCCCCACCCTCCGGTTGGACGCTCGCTCCTGCCTGTCTGCTCCTCTATGTATTTCTCCCACTCTGAGCGCGACGCAAGCAACTTGTCGCATCCCTCCAAAACTCCTCAATGATGGAAATGATGCCGGGTAATGTCAGAATCGACACGAGATGAAATCTACTACAGTATGTTTCGCTACAACATCATGGCAAAGGTTCACCCCCCCTGATCCCCCCTCCCTTTCACTCTTCTCTCTCATATTGAGGGAATTGGTCTGTAGGTGCTTATTGGAGCGTGTGCCGCGCGCGCAGGGCTGTTTGTAAGTAGCCTATTAGCCATGACCAGGTTATTATGCGTTATAGATGCGACATATATGTTTGTATTTATTTTTTGCTAGAGAGCGACCCGATGGAGAGCCAGTGGAACACTTTTTTCTCTGTGGTAATGATGATGATGATGGTGGTGATGATGATGATGGGGGTCGCGCTGGTAATTCTGGGAAATGCAGCACGAGCGAAGCCCTGCAGAGAGAGAGAGAGAGAGAGAGAGAGAGAGAGAGATGTGTTCATCATGGAGTCAAATATCTACAGGTCACTATTTATGTGTTAATATGGACTGAAGTTTAGCAGGAGCCATGTAGTAATGGACATTATTGCCTTTTTTATTTATTCTTTGGTGACATATGATGTCGCTGTTTGTCATAAAGAAAACATTATGTAATGCTCTTGTCTATGGAGGCAGAAGCTGGAGCTGCTGGTCGCACTCAGCAGTTAGGATGCTCAAAACTGAGCAGACAATGACCTTCAATAGCTTTAAAATGGCTTTGCTGCCCGGTTCACCCCTTTCTCTCTCCCTCTCTCTCTCTCCCTCTCTCCCTCTCTCTCTCTCTCTCTCACACACACACACACACACACACACACACACACACACACACACACACACACACACACACACACACACACACACACACACACACACACACGCACATGCACACACAGAGGGGAGAGCTGGAGAGAGCTAATACAGAGTGACAGGTCTTTCATGCAGTAATGGTGATGGTGAAAAGAGAGATCCACTCAACCCACAATGCCACACGCATGGAGTCAAACACAAGCATACACAGACAAACATATGAAGCAAACACACACACACGCAACCACACAGAACATTATTACACAAAAGTGGACACCACCACAAGTTACATTTTCATCTCAAATATTTACACCAGCAGTCAGGTTTCTTTCACCACACACACACACACACACACACACACACACACACACACACACACACACACACTCTCTCTCTCTCTCTCTC